GGGGATTTGTCATTGGTCTTGCTGGTGTACATCTTCTTCTTCTTCTTCTTCTTCTTCTTCTTCTTCTTTCTCTCTTCTCTGGTCTCTATCTCTTTTCAAGTGCTTTCATTTCTTTCACAATTGGGTGGCATTGTCTTTCATTGTGAATTTGCACTTTGGGAATGACCAGGATCGTGTGGTCTGCACCAGTTGGTCTGCATCCTAAAGCCCTGGCTTGGTTTGATGCTGACTCGTGCGGTTCGTACCATTTGGTCTGCATGCTAAAGCCATGGTTTAGTTTAGTCCCGACTGGTGTAGGCGGTGGTCGCTGCTGGCTGTGTCGTGTGCTGTGCGTGCTCACAGGCCAGGTGTGGACTTCTCTTACCCTGCTTCGGCCGACGAAGGGCGGGCCGGGCCGTTCTGTCTCAGCATGAACAGGCTGAACCTTGGCCGGGCTCGTTCCAGCCTCTGCTCTGCCCTGATGCTGCTGAAGACTGACTTTTGCCCCATCCATGGTTTTCCTTTTTCGGAAGGGCGATGACTGTCATTGAACTGACCGACCCGTCGGTACCCTCCATGGTTTGTCTGCGGAAAAGGAAAACCATGGATGGGTCGATCAGTTCAGGGGTGTACCAACAGACCCAAGTTTTTCGGAAGGGTAATTCGTAATTATTTTGTTCTGTTCAGCTGACTGCATTCCAACTTGGGTCTGTATTTCAACTTTTCAGGGGTGTACCAACTGAGCTAGGCCCGTCAGTACCCTCCATGGTTTGTCTGCGGAAGGAAGCCTTTTACCAGCCTCACTCTGCTGCAGTTTGTGATTTCGTTTCTCCTTTATTCTATTAATAGAATTCGCAGTGTCATTCTATTTTTGATCGATGTCCAAAAGGGCTCAGTTTCGGATTTCCAATTTTAACCGACGTGGTGTGGTTTTCTGAAACTTCTTTTTAGAGGTAGTGTAGTAACTTGTTGGCAAGTTCTTGCAGGTGTTCTGCTCCTATCATATCCTTCAACACCCTATATCCTATACTATCCTATACTATCCTACCCTATCCTATCCTATCCTATCCCATCTGATACCCTATTTGATATCCTATCCTATCCTATCCTATCTTGTCCTACCTCATCCCATCCCATCCCATCCCATCCCATCCCATCCCATCGCATCGCATCCCATCCCATCCTATCCCATCCTGTCCTGTCCTATCCTATCCTGTCCTGTCCCAT